AACACTCTCCAGGAGGTAGGTGTATGTGTGTCAAAGTCAACAATCAAGAGAAGACTTCACCAGAGTGAATACAGAGGGTTCACCACAAGATATAAACCATTGGTGAGCCTCAAAAACAGGAAGGCCAGATTAGAGTTTGCCAAACGACATCTAAAAAGCCTTCACAATTCTGGAACAACATCCTATGGACAGATGAGACCAAGATCAACTTGTACCAGAGTGATGGGAAGAGAAGAGTATGGAGAAGGAAAGGAACTGCTCATGATCCTAAGCATACCACCTCATCAGTGAAGCATGGTGGAGGTAGTGTCATGGCGTGGGCATGTATGGCTGCCAATGGAGCTGGTTCTCTTGTATTTATTGATGATGTGACTGCTGACAAAAGCAGCAGGATGAATTCTGATGTGTTTCAGGCAATATTATCTGCTCATATTCAGCCGAATGCTTCAGAACTCATTGGACGCCGCTTCACAGTGCAGATGGACAATGACCCAAAGCATACTGCAAAAGCAACCAAAGAGTTTTTTAAGGGAAAGAAGTGGAATGTTATGCAATGGCCCAGTCAATCACCTGACCTGAATCCGATTGAGCATGCATTTCACTTGCTGAAGACAAAACTGAAAGGAAAATGCCCCAAGAACAAGCAGGAACTGAAGACATTTGTAGTAGAGGCCTGGCAGAGCATCACCAGGGATGAAACCCAGCGTCTGGTGATGTCTATGCGTTACAGACTTCAGGCTGTAATTGACTGCAATGGATTTGCAACCAAGTATTAAAAAGTGAAAGTTTGATTTATGATTATTATTCTGTCCCATTACTTTTGGTTCCTTAACAAGTGGGAGGCACATATGCAAACTGTTGTAATTCCTACACTGTTCACCTGATTTGGAGGTAAATACCCTGAAATTAAAGCTGACAGTCTGCAGTTAAAGCACATCTTGTTTGTTTTATTTCAAATCCATTGTGGTGGTGTATAGAGCCAAAAATTTTAGAATTGTGTCGATGTCCCAATATTTATGGACCTGACTGTATGCTGTAATGTTATTGTTTCAGTTGAAGAAATCTATTTAAATTGTTATTATTAAGGTAATGATTATTTTTCTCCTTCCTAAGTACAACAGAAAAGTTGTCCAAATATGAATGATTAACCTATTAAAAGGGATAAAAAAACTAATATGAAAAGTTGTTATTCTAAAAATCTTCATCTACTTGCATATTAAAGTTATACCAGCAAGAATTAGTCTTTATGTAGAAAACTAGGATTTAAATAAAGCCTTACTGACTAGTGATTTCAATCGTGATTTAAATCAGTTTGATTTAAATCAAATTCACCCTGCTCGGGATGTCCATAATTTTAAAGGGTGCTTTGACTGAAACACCATTGAGAAACACTGCCCTAGGGTTCCACAGAACCTTGCCCCTTTAGATCCTCCTAACAAACTATGATGATATTTTTCCAGGGTGACATTATTCATAAAGTGCAGCCTCATTGGTGCCCATCACTGAAGGAGATTACTTAATTTACTAAGCTTTAACAGAAACTAAGAAAAAAAAAAACTTTTATTTTCCAAATTTTTGGTCTTTTTTTGTTTGTTAGCAAAAAATAAAAACCCCAGTGGTGAATAAATACCACAAAAAGAATGCTCTATTTGTTTAAAAAAAATGATGAAAATTTAGTTTGGGTACAGCGTTGCATGACAGCACAATTGCCATTCAAAGTATGACAGCGCTGAAAGCTAAAAATTGGTCTAGGCAGGAAGGGAGTAAACGTGCCCGGTAGGCAAATGGTTAAAGTGTAAGTTCACCGCCACAGAAAAAATGTAAGAGGTGAACATACACCCTCCCCCACCCCCTTGGGTCACACTGTACTTACATCTAGGATTGCCGAACTGTCAGCACCCGGCAGGCACTCCAGCGGTCCAGGGATTAGAAATCCCCGCTCTTCTACATCAGAACTTCCTGCACATACCAGCCCAATTCAGATTGGTCAGCACCATCATATGGACAGTGCTGACCAATCAGAATCCACCTTATCCATTCTGTTAAGTGCATTTGCCAGCACTGGATCGCATGGTACAGATGTACCATGCGATCTGGTTTCAGTTTGTTTTTTTGTTTTTTTTAAAGTAGTGCATGCACTACTTTTGGTGCGATTCAGTTCAGTTCATTCCAAATCAATGGGCTCAAATTGCACCATATGTGACTCACACAGGAAGGCACAGTACGTTTCTGTGCGATCCCTTGTGTGAACCAGCCCTCAGTCTTTATTTTACATCTCCCTATGGCCTTTTGCACATGGTACTGATGTTTTAGCAACAGCATTTCTGAGCGTAATTTCAGGCACTTGTTTTGCGCATTTTTGCATGCATGCACACAACATTCCTAGCCAAAAATCAGTTAATATTTATGCACGTACCAGTGCCAATTACTAACCATGAACGAAAATTTTCCTTTTTTTTTTTTCTTCTTACTCAAGCATACATAGCTTGTTTATGAGCCTGTGTGTACAGACACATTGTAAACAATGGACTGCATTTTGGATCAGTAAAAAAAAAAAAAAAACTCTGTACTGAACTTTTTCAAGCTGCAGTGTGCAAGAGGCCTTTACGAGACCACAATGTCCAGTAGTGATGAGCTGAGTTGTGTTAAGACATGAGTCCAAGCCTGCTGGGAAACTGTCAGAGAGCCAATCATAAGTGGCGGAGACATTTCCATCACACGTATGCAAGGGGCACATTTACATGTACAAACATGCTTGAGCTCACCTCTATTTTCCAGAAATGTAGCAGTTAAAGGGATGAAAAAAAAAAACCATTTACCACTGACAGAGATGCTTTTATTTATGTAAAACATTTATCCTAAAAGGCAGAAACTATTCCTGTAACTGCTAAAAAAAAAACCTGTTAGTTGGGGCTTGGCTAAATTCACATTGGTGCGCTAAAAAACGTGGTATATACTTTGGAAAAAAACTGATTTCAATGCGTTTTTAATGTATTTTCTGATTTCCTGAATCCCAGCATGCACCTATGAAACATAGAAGTTTGACTCAAAAATGCAAATATGCACCATGGTGCATTTTTTATAAGTTTCCATTCACTTAAAATGGGAAGTACATTTTTAGTGTGCTTTTGACAAAGATGCAGCATGCAGAACTTTTAAAAACGCAGCGCAGTGATGTGAGCAGTTGCATAGGGTTTAGTCCTGGCTCACACCAAATGCAATTTCAAACTGGTGAAATTTGGTCCCGTTTAGCGTGCGCCAATATAGACGCAGGTGCGATTTACCTTATCCACTGAAGTGGTGAAAAAGTAACGTAGGAACTATTTTTCAAACTGTGCTCCTTGAAATCGCACCTATTAAGACTGTGCCATAGAAATACATTCGATGTGACTTCAGGTGCGATTTGTAAATTGCATGTCGCACGTGAAGTCGCAACATTGTGAAACGGGGGACAATTTTTCATGAGCTTTTGTTATGTGGGAAAGGTGCTTTTTAGAGTGGCAAAAGGGCAACAGTGTGAACAGGGCCTTCAGCTTTCATGTGTTAGCCACTTACGTCAAGTCCATCCCAACCTGCTAGTGCAACTAACTCTTCTCTCTCCCCCGATTGACAAGGTTACCATCCAAGGGTGTCTCTGTTTATCCTTTTCCCACCCTAAGCCCGGGTTCACATCGGTGCAGTGCGGTCAATCCCATGTGATTCACACAGGAACCGCACCTCGTTCCTGTACACATCACATGATTTGTATGCAGTGCAATTGGAGCCATACATGTTGTATGGCTCTATTCGCACCGCAGCCGCACCAAAAACGTGCAGGACCTTTTTTTGGTCCGCACTAGTATTGGATCGCATAGGTATTTACACCTATTTGATCTGATTCTGCACATCGCAGTGTGTTTTGCAGACTGCTTTCGGGGTGTTCTTAACTTAACATCAGGGGCGGACTGACAACTCATGGGGCCCCCGGGCAATAGGGGATCATGGGGCCCGTGTCCTTGCCCAAACTAAAAAAAGCCTATAAAAAAGGTACCTGGGGCATCTCATAGGGCCCCCTACTGACCTGGGCCCTCGGGCAGTGCCCAAGTTTCCAAATGGTCAGTCTGACCCTGCTTAACATGCACACCCACAGCGGTTTGAATGAACGGGGTGCGATTCTGATACAGTTCGGAAATCGCACTGAAAACACTGCGAATTCTGCACCGCATCAGTGTGAACCACGGCTTAAACTAGATAAAAAAAACCAGAGTGCTTGAGATAGAGGAATCCCCCTGCTGGGACATTCTGACAGTAGGACCCTCCTCTGTCTAAGGCTAGCTTCACATCTCTGCGTTCCTGCAGGCCACGTTTTGCGCAGGCACAGAAAAGCCCCGGACGCAGAGCCCCAGAAAACGCAGCCCGCACAGGAACCTCAGTTCCCAGTACGGTTCTGATGGCCTGTGCGGGCAGCGAGCCATTGGAATTAATGTGGGTCCGCAGTCCTCGATGCGGGTCGCCTGCACGGATTTTTGTGCGGATCTGCAGCGGCACCACCCACAGATGTGACCCAGAGGTCCTACACTGATCAACAGCTCCAGATTGACAAAAGTCTCCCAGCATGTCCCTTTGACAATCAACATCCATGAGCAGGAACAACCACACATTAATAGAAATTCTTCCAGTCCCTGGTGACCCAGCTGAATTTCCATCCATCTATGGCCAGCTGAAGACAGCAAATGTGTTACTAATCCAATCACAGGTGAAAGTAAAAGAAAACGAATGCAGCCATCACATCCAATGATTTGTAAGCTGCAACATATTGTTGTTTTTGGGTGTAATACCGCATTAGGTTCGCCATGAGAGTGAATGGTCTCCTGTCCTGATATTATCCTGCACTGTGACTACAGAGTGATGATACAGGAAGTGTCAGGGAGTGCAGTCACCCGGAACAGATCAGTGTATGGGGACACCCAGGAAGCAGCAGAGCTCACCCTATCCCAGCACTGTGATCTGACACCACTTACCTGCAGCCTAGAAGGAGCACAGAGCCGGCCATGCACATACAGGAGGGGGAGGGGGAGGAGGAAGCCGGGCTGAGCTCTCACTTCCCTAATATTCCCGCACCCGCCTGTCATATGATGGGCAGCACGTGAAGCCTGCTCTGCAGTGTGCGGCCTGTCCTGCAATAAGTGAAATGTCCAGCAGGTGGTGCTGCAGATCTATGATCTGTGTAGCACAGCAGGCTGGGTAGTCTGTGCTGTGTGATGGGACATCCCTGACCTGTGTGTCATTCTTCTGCCACACATACATTTCCCTGCACACCATCCCAGATATCTGACAAGGACAATACACTCTCCAGGGTACACTCTATTCCTTGGCACTAGCCAAGGAAATATCCCGCCACCATTACACCGCCACCACCAGCCTGAACCTCGGATACAAGGCAGGATGGATCCATGCTTTCATGTTGTTCACACCAAATTCTGTCCCTACCATCTGAATGTCGCAGCTGAAATCGAATGCCCATTCTACTTTGATCTCTGACATCAACAAGGTATTTTCATCCACACAGCTGCCACTCACTGGATATATTCTCTTTTTAGGACCATTCTCTGGAAACCCTAGAGATGGTTGTGCGTGAAAATCCCAGTACATCAGCAGTATTTTAAATACTCAGACCAGCCCGTCTGGCACCAACTATGCCATGTTCAAAACCACTTAAATCCCCTTTCTTCCCCATTCTGATACTCGGTTTGAACTTCAACAAATTGTCTTCACCATGTCTAGATGCCTAAATGCATTTAGTTGCTGCCATGTGATTGGCTGATTAGCAATTTGTTACCAAGCAATTGAACAAATGTCAGGTGATTGTAAGTGTAGTAAACAATATGGTAGTGTGACAAGAGCACCCCTACCTGAAAATAGAAGGTTACTAAATGATCCACGCGGAGTAATATGAATTCAAAAAATTCAGACAATACTTTATTTGATCACATAGATCATACGGAGGTTAAACATGAGCACGGTGAACATGTCAAACAAATAAAATCATGTTTAAAATGCACTAGGCGTCTTCATTGTAGGGTCATTTTAGCAAGTAGGGCACCATGTATGGCAATGTAGGGTAGTGGTGAGGTAATTCTCCTAGATTTCCATGGATTTCCAGCTTATATTGGAGTAAGCCATGTATACAGCAGATGTGTTCCCAATATACGTCAGGAACCTCCTGGTATATGAGAGCTGGAACACAAATAATACACAATGTATGTATGAGAATATAGGAGTTAAATCACATCCAGGCCTCACCACACCTCCCTCTCCAGCAAAAAATGGACACTTCAATTACCTTCTCAGTTGTAAGACTGTAATACCCGCTTCTCAAATATAGGGACCTCCTGGGTAACCACCCCAAGTGAAACAAAGTCACCCAATTTTTGGTAAAATATAAAACATGAGGCTGTGCCAAGTAAATAGATACCCAACATGTCAACCCTGTCAGCCATGCAGTGTGGCTGTGCCCACACTGCATGAGTTAGGTACTCTTTTTGTCTAGGGGCTTAGGGAAAAGCTGTATGTACCCAGTCCTCTGGAAAACCACGCTCCCCACGTCCAGCGGTGGACTGTTCCTGCTGTCCTCATGTCCAGAGCTGGTCTATGGCATGATGATGTCAGGAACAGCCCATTCACAAGACCACTAGCACGCGCGGGGGGGGCAGGAGCGGTGTGGATCGATTTTGCACTTGGAAGATCGGCAGATTAGTTAAGTATATTCTTGCTTTCTGAGCCCCTAGAGAAAAACAAGCATTTAACCCGTGCAGTGCAGGCACGGCCCCACTGCATGGGAAAATAATAATTTTGCCATGATTCCTGCTTTAAAATAGCGTGAGCCCCTGATACGGTGACAAACTTTGGTTCCCTATATTTTCCATAGGCAATGCTTTAAAAACCCCTACAGGTCGTCCATTTAGAGTTTAAGCTTTAGAATTGAATAATGAGCCTAGAATTATATCTGTCACTTTGTCAAGTGAGGAAACATGTAATGTGTACCACAATCAATGTTTTGTGTGTGTGTAGTTGCTCCTATGTGTGTATTTACGTTAATACATGCTTGTATGTGGTTGGAGGAACTCAAAAATATTTGGAGGGAGATTTTAAGTGCTTATAACTTTAATTTGTTTACATTTTTGTTACACTTTTTATTAACCTTTTTTTTCCCACCATGTAGGGAACAAAAAGTGCTCTATGCAATGCATTTTTTGATGATTCCCTTTAATGAGATATCCCCTGCCCTGTCTTATCTGCCTTCAAATGAAACTAGTGGAGTGTAGATCATACTCTATTAGCTTCTTCTTCAACCTTTTTGGCTGGGGAAAATGACACCAGGACCTGGAAATGAAGTTTTACATGGCGCTTCCGGCTCATTAACAGGAAGGGGAGATCAGCAAACAGACGTTCACTGATCGCCTTCCTCTTTCACCAGGTAGCACCCACCATGCTGGTCCTGGGTCCACCAATTGGTATGCAAAGCCCAGGAAACATGGTGGGGGTGCATGCAGAGGGAGTGTGGAAATGATCTGGTAGCTGCACAGCCACCAGATCACTTCCATCTGACTATTTTTCAGATTTACACCAGGAGTGTGTTTAAAACCCCACAAAGCCACTGACGTAGTATATACATCAGTGGCAGTAAGAAGGTTAAAGGTGTAGTTCATCTTTATAATAAAGAGTGCAGTGTAGTGAATGGGAAATCTACAAACCCCACCTGCCACCTCCAAAGTAGGACTCATAGTTCTGAATGGAACAAAATCAGAGTAATGTCACTCCACTCATACTCCATTGATAATTTCCTCTAGCTCCACAACCAAAGGTCGTAATTCCATTTAAAAATGGGGTTGGAGGAACAGTCTGCAGCTTCTGCATTGTACCCTTGATGCAATGATCGCAGTTGCAATGTTTTGTAGGAGTCAATGCAAATATTAAAGTGTTTGTTAAGGCAGGGTTTTTTTTTTTTTACCTTACTGGATTCTATGCAGTACAGTAAAAAACCTTCTGTGTGCAGTTTCCCCTGCAGCCCCCCCCTAAAAATACCTGAGCCTGATCTCAATCCAGCAATGTGAACAAGAGCCGAGGCTGTCTCAGCTCTTTTAACCAATAAACGTAGTGCTGCGCTGCTAATGTAAAGTATAAGTATCAAATGATTATATATGAAAACATCAAATATACATAAAAACATGCATAAATCATAATACAGATACATTAGAAAACACAATGTCCATGAAAGCAAGTTCGTGCAATTTAAATTAGAGCAGTGAATGTGGATAAGGTTTTACATCAACTTCCTTCACAATTCCATAAGATATCTCATGTGCTCACAAAACCATCACCATCACTTAAAGTGCTGCAAACATGCAGGTTGTGCCACCTCAGTGCTCACAGAACTCTCACCTTAAGAAAATCTGAATGCACTTATAATGATTAATAAATTGGGGTTCCTCCACTCTCCTGGTTCTCCACCATTATAGAACCACTGGGGGTCCTCCTTCCTGTCTTTGATCTCTAGACCCAGTTGTAAAACTGCTCCGTTTAAGGGTCACTTCGGATCAAATGTACACTCCAGAAATCTCCAATAGTGCAGTATGTTCCAGTACATACCTTTCCTTAAAAGTATTGCACTTACATGTGTACATGCATAAAAACGCCATTAAAATCATGTTGGAGCCAACAAACACAGACCACACTTCTGCGTACGTCACTTCCAGTTCACGGCTGCCCCACGCGTTACATCACACGACTTCTAGTCACATTGAGGTAGCGTAGGAGTATCTTTTACTTTTATATGTCTGTTTTGCTCCTCATTGGCTCAGATACAGCAACAGGAGCCATTAGCTCCTGCTGCTGTCAATCAGAGCTAATGATGAGAAATAGGGAGTGGGGCCAAGTCGGCTCTGTGTGTCTTACAGACACACAGAGGCAGCTTGGGAGCAAGCACACACAAATGCCCCTAGACCAAGTGGCTAGCTGTGGGGGCACTTGGCGGGGGGGTGTAGCCCAGTCACCAGCTTGGGACCCGAGTGTGGAGGATTGGGGCTGCTCTGTGCACAGCCATTGCACAGAGCAGGTAAGTATAACATGTTTGTTAATTTGATCAAATAAACAACTAAGCTTTACAATCACTTTAATAAATTAACTTTTTTTTTGTAATAATGGTGCATCTGTTAATTTTTTTCTTAACAAGTGGAAAATGTTTCTAAGTTGCTGGAGAATAGTGTTGCCCTTTCAAAACCCCACCCCATTATGGATGTGCCATTTGATGTACTTTGTTCATTGTCATCCAAGCACAGCAGGGAGCCTTCAAATGATACTGAAGTGACTGATTTATATTACGTAGCATTCATGGCATCTCCACACCATATTAATCCACTACGGTTAGAAAGAACAGGAACTAAATTGTTTTAAAACCACTTTTATTAAATGCAAACAAGGCAATCCATAAGCAATCATAAAATATCTATTAAAAACTCATTAGTAAGTAAACATGAAGGAGGAACAGCAATGGTAAGCAGAGTGTGGTTTCCTCAAGGACACAGTGTAGTAAAACATCTCTACATCACATCGCCTCATCATCACCTTATCTTTACAGACCTCTAAAAGGAAAAGTCCAATTGGACATAAAAATCATCATATATCATACATGACTGGCACACAACAAACGTTGTCATTTAACCACTTGCCTACCGGGCACTTTTACCCCCTTCCTGCCCAGGCCAATTTTCAGCTTTCAGCACTGTTGCATTGTGAATGACAATTGTGTGGTCATGCAGCACTGTACCCATATGAAATTTTTATCATTTTTTTTAACACAAATAGAGCTTTCTTTTGGTGGTATTTACTCACTGTTGGGTGTTTTATTTTTTGTGCTATAAACAAAAAAAGAGCAAAAAATTTGAAAAAAAAGTTTTTCTTTTGTTTCTATTGTAACATTTTGCAAACAGGTAATTTTTCTCCTTCGCTGATGTGCATTGATGAGACTGCAGTTATAGGCAGCACTGATGGGCACTGATA